TACCACCACCCAAACAGGCTGCTTTTTCTCCTTTCCCTGGTTCCACATCCACACTAGCAATTCCTACCTACCGCCTCTGGGCCACCTCACCAATCCCTACACACTGCCCTTAAGGCCAGATCATACCTCCAGAAGCCTCCTGACACCAGCTGTCCCTCCCCCCTCTAGCAATCACAGCACCCTGGTGACAGCACTGCACCTCCTCTCCACGGTTCCCATGGGCCACTGTCCCACGCTCTTCCTGTCCTGCTTGCCCCTCAGCGGTGTTCAGGGCCAGCCCCTGGCTCAGAATTGGATCCAGCAATGAGTAAACAGACTCCACCTTGCCTACATGGAGCCACCCTCCAGATGGGGAGAGGGGAGTAATCCAATGATCACACCCGTTATGTATAATTACTAACTGTGATAAGGAAAAGGGAGTCAGCCGTCACCTGTTAGCGAGGTATGAGGGGTGATGAGATCAGGCAAGACCTGATATAATAAGGGGTCAAGGAGGCTTCCTGGGGGAGGAGGGAAGGATGTGACATTTGTGTTGAGATTTGAAGGTGATGAGAAGTTCATCAGAGATGTTCAGGCAGAGGAGACAGCAACGTGGCAAGACCCCAAGGTGGGAGGGAGCAAGGGGGGTCTGGGGCACAGAAAGGGCACCCTGGTATCTGGACCACAGAGAGCCAGAGGGAAACTCACACAAGGCCAAGGAGGCCTCAGAGGGCCTTGAGGCCACGTGAAGATTTTGGACTTTCTCCCAAGATCCCTGGAAAGTTATTTAGTTGTTTGGCAGAGGTACAGGTGGGTGGGAGTGGGGTGTGTGGGGCACAGCGGACTCTTAGCAGATGCTCCTTAAGCTAGAGTGAGCACTCCCTGTGGAGCTGTGGAGTTGACTGTAACTCTAGTCAAGTGTTGGCCAGCATGCCTCAGCTTTCGGGACTGTGACTGCCCCACCTGGTGACATGGTGGTGGCCTCCACCTGAGCCTGGAGTGATGGGTTTGAGAACCATGGGCCCAGCTATGCTCAAGCTCCATGCTGTAGTTTCGGTGCCGTCTTGGGACTCACTGATGCTTTTCAAGAGATGACAAGATTCTGAGAAAGGGAGCAGCAGCTGATGTAACTTTGGCCACAGTTCACTGCAGAGCAGCCCAGGAATTGTGGTTTTTTTCCCCCCTCTGTCATCAATATCAAGGGCAGAAAAGTGGCAAGCTGCCCAACCTGGCTCCAGTGTCTCTGCAACTGGCCTGTTGGTTCCTGTCAAAAACAACTTTGTTTTGTTTTATTGGTATTTGGGGTTCATAAATCTCTGAGCAGAGTGCATTCCCCAAGCATGAAGACCATGCGCCATCCGAGCAGCCACCAGAGATCTTGTTGGGCTGAGGCCCTCTGAGGCCTCCCCGGCCTTGTGTGAGTGGGCAGAAAGACTTGACATCACTTTTAGGAAATCCATTCTCTGGTTGGTTCAGTGTGGTCAGAAGCAAATGCCAACTGGGGGAAGAAACCAGAACTTTGTAACTTAGTGTCCCAACCCTGAGGGCTTTTGTCCCCTTCCTGTGGCCAGACTTCACTAATCCTTTCCCCAGAAGGTTGGGAGTGGGAACTCGAGGGGAGACTGGACTAGGCCTGGACAGAGCCCTAAGTGAAGGGAGGAACAGAGGGCCTTGCCTTCTCTCCCATTTGCTTCTTTCAACCCAACCCAAAGGCAGAGGAGGGGAAACCTGAAGGCAGGAGAGAAAACCTTCTCTGAAAAGAACTTTCCCCCCCCTCAGTGGGTCCCTTGTATGAAAGGCTGTTCTCCCAGGGGTAGATCACCCGAGTGCCACAAGCTACTTGATCATGGACCTGCTCTAACCTCCTCCCAGCTGAGTGATTTGGGACAAATTATTTAAGCTCCCAGAAGTATGATAATATTTATTTCACAGGGTGGCTGTAAGATTTAAGTAATTAATATGAAATAAATGGTTAAATACCTACAATAGTGCCTCAAATATATCAGTGCTCAGTAAATATTGTTTCTTTTTCCCCTCCCTCAGGAGAAAGCATCCGAGCCACACACGGGTCCTGCTCTCTAACAATTCAATCAGCCAATATCTGTGACCATTAACTGTGAGCAGGATCTTTATTTGAGGCACTAAGGATACAACAGTGAGGAGATAGCAGTATCTCATGGTACTTTGAGAGCGTAAGAATATTATAGAATATCAGCCACACGAGAATAAATAGATGTGTAATATGTTTGTGATAATACTATGAGGAAATGGAGAATTAGGGGCTAGGAGTGACAGGGTAGCCTGGTGATGGACAAGATGGCATTGAAACAGAGACCTTAATGACTCCAGGGAGTGAGACATGCAGATAACTGGGGGAGAGCATTCCAGGCAGAGGTTAACAGCCAGGGCAAAGATGCTGATCAGGGAACGGATCTGACACATTCTAGGAACAGGGGTGGGAGGGAGCAAGCAACGAACTGGAGCAGAGTGATGGGGGGGAGGACAGGGAATAAGGTGGGCTCATGCAGGGCCTTGTGGGTAAGGATTTGGCTTTGACTGTGAGTGGGTAGGAAACTGATGGGATGGAGGGTGTGCAGCTGAGAGTGATGGGATCTGACAGGTCTTGGAAGGATCCTTCTGGCTGTGTTTGTACAAGAAGCACTAATAGTGGGAAGGCCCCAAAAACACAATTTATGACCTCGTCTTCACTGGCTCTCACCTCACTGCAGGCCTGGGAGTGGTGGGTGGGTCTGGGTTTCCTGACTGCCAGAGCAAACCTGCCTCTAGTTCAGGGCCACCACCCTCTGCTGGGGTCAGATGCAGGATGGGAGGACCAGGCATCACCAGGGGGTGTCTCCAGGGGGCTCCAGGGAGCCAGATAAAGTGTTGCCCCATGCTCAGGGATTGCATGTCGCCTGTGCATATGTGTGCTTGTATGTGTATGTGTGCATTTCTCTGTGTGTGTGAATTTCGTGTGTGTATGTGTGTCCCTTCCTGGGACAGAGCTGGAGAGTGAGTTCCTCTCTGTTCACCTCCCAGGTTTGCACAGTTGACACTGGTGTCTCTCTCCCCTGACATGCCCTCACTGGCCAAAGACTTGTGCTCCTTCATCCCCCTGTGCTCACCTGACCAGGGGCCCTCTTCCCCAAGGCTGCCTGCTGCTAACCAGGCTGATAGATCCATTCATGGTCTGGGATTTGTAAATAAGGCACTAAATTAGGGCTAACACACTTTTCCTCCTCTACCCACTCAAGGACCATGACACTGTATTCATGTGGCAGATCAGGAATCATGAAGACAGGGTTGGCAGCTATGTAACCACTTGCTGCCACTGTCCTCTCCTATATCCCCAGCAGATATTGCTCACTGATCACACTCATCTTGTCCACTGAGCCCAAACTTGACCTAAGCATCTTCTTAAATCAGTGCTTCAGGAAACACTAATAATCAATTGACAAGGGAAATGACACATATGTGAGATATGTGAGATGACACATATCTAACAACCCTATTGAAGGTGTTTCAGTTTTGCCTCTGGGGACTCGAATTCTATGACTCTAATGATGGAGCTTTGGGTCACTGCAACTATTTGCTGAGCAAAAAATGTGGAAGAAACCACTTGTCCTGTACAACAGGCCTATTCAAGTCGGTGCCCCAGGGCATCACCCTTCAACACTCTGCCCTGGGGTTAGTGCCCAGGGGAGGAGTGTAGGACACTTACAATTACAAGCCTCAGATTCAGAGTTCCTCTCCGGCAGGTTGTGGGACCTTGGGCAGGTCAGTTCACCTCTCTGACCCTTGGCTTTGCATTTGCTGCTCCATCACAGGGTTGTCATGGAGATCAAACAGTAATATACATATGAAGGCTCTTTGAAGATTGTAAAGTGCCCTACACGTGGAAGGGGGGGGGATGAAATTCTATTCTGCTGATTGGTTTTCACTGATCTGAAGGTTTGGACTTGAGGTAGGATTCCACCCCTTAAACCCCAGGGGTCCCAGCTTTGGTGGCCCTGTTAGTAGTGACAGCTGGGCAGAGACATAGCTTAGATGTGCAGCAAGGCCAAATGTGCCCTGCAAATGGAGGGAAGGGCTCGCAGAGCAGGCATCTGAGGTCCTGGTCCTGATGCTGCTGCTGACCTGCAGTGTAGCCCTGGGCCAGACTCAGCCTCACCGGGGCTGAGCCACCTCTGCCAGATGTGGATGGTGCGTGCTCCTTCCCCCGAGCTCTGCTAGGGGAAATGATGACAGAGACCCAGGCTGCCCTACAGATGCCAGTTGTTACTACTTGTAACTTGACACAAGAATGCCAAAGGGGCAAAGCATTTGGCTCAAAAACAAGGCTTTCCACCAGGTGGAAACTGACACGTGACGTCACCAAACAGGGAAGGCCTTTGGGGCCAGGGTGAGGGGGTTACAGGGCTGGACCTCTGCTTTGCCTCAGCTGCCCCAGCCTGTCCGTGGCCCCTGATGAATCGGGGCCATGGCAGAACTGGGGCCATGGCAACTAAGCCGCCAGGCTTGAGGGGCAGGTGGGAAGTCAGTTCCCTGACCCTTTAGCATACAAAGGTGAGAGAAGGGAGGAGAGAGGAGTGAGAGAAGTAGGAGAGAGGAGGGGAAAGAAAGAAAAACAATTGGAAGAGGAGACTAGCAGAAGCTGGAAGAAGCAGAGTTGGAGAAAGGAGTGATGAGAAAGGGAGCTATCTCTCCCCTGATGAGAACGAGAATTTTCTGGGGGAGGGACTGTTCTCCCCACTCAGACTGCGTCTCCCAAGAGTAGGTTTTATGCCTCCTCTATTGGATTATGCCCCCCAGGGCAGGTGCTGGGCCTTTCCCATCAGACTGTGGGCTCCCCCAAGCAGGGACTATGTTAACCACCTCATAGAGGGGCTTCCCAAGGATAGGGGAACATACTCCTCCCAAACTATCCAAGGTAGGTGACCTGCCAGGGAGACCCCACACTCCTGGGTCCCAGACCTCCACCTGCCTGACTCTTCTGCCCTCCTCTCTTCTGCCTGCCCCAGGGTTCACGGACACCTTCAACATGGACACCAGGAAGCCACGAGTCATCCCTGGCTCCAAGGATGCCTTCTTCGGCTACACGGTCCAGCAGCATGACATCAGCGGCAAGAAGTGGTGAGTGACAGCTGCCAACCAGCCAGCCCTGAGCTCCCCACACCTGGCCCACCAGCCTGCCCCTGAACCCCACCGCTTCCAGACTGGTCCTCACATGAAGACACCCCCATTTCTAGTGACTTGACTTCTTGTCCTGGCAGGTGGAGGCTGCATAAGATCTGCCCCTGACTATGAAACCTTGAGCATTCCATTTCACAGGCCCTCAGTGGTCTCATCTGAGAAATGGGAATGAGCACCCTTCCTCCTGTGTTATGTGACAGCACAGTTAGCAGGCACCCGGAGACCAATAGTTACCCCTCCCTTCCCCTCTCAGGGCCTCAGTGTCTCATCAGTGTGGCAGTGCCTCTGGGCCTGGCTTCTTAGAGAACTGTTAGGGGTGTCTCTGAGGGGTTGGATTTGAATGTGCTCACAAGCTAAAGCACAGGCACTGGGGGAACAAAGGGAAGTGAGAGGGAGATGCAGTGGAGGGAAAGGGCCAGAAAGATCCCAGAGCCCCTTTGGGGAGGGGTAAGCAATAGGAAGGAAGGATTCGCCTCCAATTTTTAAAATAACTTTATTGGGTGATATTTTACACATCATAAAATTCACTCATTTCAAGTGTACAATCGATGATTTTTTAAGTAAGTTGACCGAGTTGTGCAGCATCACTGCAAATCAGATTTTGAACACCTTCATCACCCAGTGAGACCCTCACGCACATATATACCTTTAATTGCTGTTCTTCTCCCTCCAGTTGGTTTTTAGCTGACAGAAGGCAAGGCCTTCTTTCCACCCTGAGGTAGAAAGGACAAGGCCTCCACTTGGCCCTCTTAGAAGCCCTTGCTGAGTTCAGGGGCCACAGGAACACTAGTGATTAATGTCCTATGTCACCCTCTTCCTATCTGGCCTCTGCTTACTCTCCCCTCCTCACCCCTTTTTCTTCCACTTCCCCCACCTCCTTTGTTGTGCTCAACCCTCATCTCTAGTCAAATTGCTTTATAATCATTTTTCCAGTACTCTAGACCTTTGCACATGCTGATCCCTCCTCCCATACTAATCCCTCCTCCCATAATATCCTCTCCCACCTTCCCCACTCACCCCACCCCCACCCTTCAGATCTGTCTGATTCTCTCTGACAAAGATAGAAATAGAAATAGATACACAGAGAGAGAGATTTTTATAAAGGAGTATCTGACTTGATATCTTTCTATTGAGACATAACTTAGATACAAAAAGTATAGACATCTTAAGCATACAGCTCAGTAAACTTCTACATATGTATATGCCTGTGTAATCACCTCTCAGAACATGACATAGAACATTTGCAGCTCCCAGAAAGCTCCTTTGTGCTCCCCACCCAGTCAGTGCCCCTCCAGGTAACCACTATTCCGACTCCTGTTGCCATAGATTCCTTTTGCTGGTTTATGAACTTTATATAGATGATCTCATATGGTAGATACTCATTTGCACCTGACCTGCTTTACTCAACATTATGTCTCTGAGGTTTGATATACTGATGAGTGTATTATACTTCATGCTTCTTCATTGGTGTGTAATAATCCACAGTAGCAATGTACCACAATTTATTTCTTCATTCTACTGTTGATGGATATTTGGATTGTTCCAATTTTGGCTATTTTGAATAGAGATGCTATTAACATTCTTATACATGTCTTTTGATGGGCATACACCCTCATTTTTATTGGGGATATACTTATATACTCATTTTTATTGGGTATAGACTGCTGCTCCCTATTTGAACTCTATTTCCCTGTGGTCAATAGCAAAGCACCCTCCTAGAGAGAGTTGAGCGAATGTGGGTTTAGCTCCTGTGCTTCTCTTTTCTCAAGTATTGAGCTCTACACTGATTGCTGTCCAGTGCCTAAAAATAGTTGTCCTATATACTTTATCTACTTTTCATAGTTGCTTATGACTGGAATTGAAAGTCTTCTTTCATATTCTCTTATCAACTTTGATATCACTTCCTCTAAGAAAACATTTATCCAGCTGGATAGTAATCGCCTGTTTCATTGCCTGTCTTCCAGAAATCAGGAGTATAATCCCTGGCATTTAGTAGATGCTCATAAGAACATACTTTGAAAGACTGAATCAGTTATTTGAACCTCTCTAAACCAGCCCAGACATAAGATGCACAATATCCATATTCAAAGGGTTAAAGATTAATGGGCCCTAGCGGGTTTAGGTCAGTGGTTAGAGCGTCGGCCCATGAACTCTAAAGGGTCTCGGGTTTAATTCCAGCCAGCGGCATGTACCTCAGTTGCAGGCTCAATCCCCAGTTGGGGCCCATGCCGGAGGCAACCCATCGATGTGTCTCTCACATCAATGTTTCTCTCTCTCTCTTTCTCTCTCCCTTCCATTCTCTCTGAAAAGCAATGGAAAAAATATCCCTGGGAAAGGATTTTTTAAAAAAAGATGAAATGGAACTGGCTTTTCCCAGATAGAATTTGTTTTGACCAATATTTGTTTATTAAGCATCTGTTAATAAATTTTGCCAGACTGCAAAATATTGATTTTGGTAAAACATGGTTTCACTCTCAAATAACTCACAAACTAGTTGAGGAGGCAACACTAATACCCTTGAAATAATTAAAAAACAATACAAGACAAAATATGACCCGGTATTAATTATGTTCCTCTTTAGAAGACCCTTTCTCCATGAAGACTTGCTGGACCCTTCTCTTTTCCTAACATGGCCTTACCGTCCCCAAGCACTCTCTCTAATGGCACACATCACCTCCTACCTCGTGTTGGAGTTGCTTCAGCCGGTGACCCAGGCTCTCCCTGCCTCCTCGGTGTGGACTTGTATTCCAGTCCCTAAGGCAGAGTTTGCACACTTTGCTCTTCATTTCCTGGGCCTGCAGTGGGGCCAGGGAAGTCTAGCAGGGAGACTGGCACCACTGAGGCCCACCATCTCCACTGAGGGGAGGGAAATGCCTGTGGGAAACAGCATCTTCCTCAGCCTCTGCCCCAAAACCTAGGTCCCAGCACTGCCCCAGAGAAGGGCGCACCAGCTGTCTCACGCCACAGGCTCCAATGGGGTCTGGTTCCCATTGACCAGATTGTGAGCCTTCTTGAACGTCAAGGGCATCAGAGCCTGATGTAAATGGCTGGAGGAGAGGGGACACACCTTCTGCCCAGCACATCCCCAACTCAGACCTCAAACTGCACAAAGATGACTACACCAGTGCTTCAGACATCTTGAACAGTTTTCCACATGCCTGGTTTTCAGCAACAATAACAACACAGACACACAAGAAGGAAAAGAGAAAACAAATTCCTCTCAGGCTGAGTTTTCTCTGCCCTTGCATTTTAAGCCCTTGTGTATTTTCAGAGAAATTTAATCTACATGACTCTATAGCATGTACATTGAAGTCATTAAGTCAGTTGATTTGTAAGAGCATTTGATGTCCTGAAGCTCCAGTGTAGGGCTTGCACAGGGCTTCTCCAGACCTTTGGTCCCTGGAACAGGAAGCCTCCTGGCCCTGAGATAACACAGAGCTGGGCCCCACAAGTTTCCAATTTGTCATTAAAGCTCTCGCCCCTAAAGAGAGAAGCCTCAGCTCTCTGCAAGGCAGGGCATTTCGCCTCCTCTCCTTGAGGGGAGCAAGCGCCTGAGGAGCAGGAGCCTGACAACACCCAAGGCTCCGAAAGGAACCCCTTGAAACTCAGTGGGCTTTAAGAGACCAAGTTGAATTCCCTGGGATACAGGTTCAGGGACATGAGCAACTTGTAAGAGAAGTAGGCTTGTCCCCATTTTACAGGCATGGCAACTGAGACTCCAAGAGAGAGGGAGAACATAATTAGTAAGTGTCTGAGCCAGGTCTGGAGCCCAGATCTTATTAGGCCCCAGTGGAGCACAGAACAAAAGCAGCACCATCCCTGAGGGTGGCCAGGAACATACTGTCTCCGAAGGCTCTGTCCTTCCTCACTGGCTACGCTGCTGGCCCCACCAGAGAGCCAAGGCTGTGGTGTCCCTGGGCCCAGCACTAGCATATTCACATAAACAGCACATGGGAAGAATGAGTGCCCAGCCTAGCCGGGAAGCGAGGGCGTATGCTCATAGAGCCCCAGTCCTGGATGATAAATACCAAGAGGGCACACAGAAAGAACTTAGAGTAAGGGGGAGTGAGTTCCTAATTCAGTAGACTGGGTGGAAGGAACCTGGAAAAGAAGAAGCCACATTTAGAGAAAGGACACTGTCCTGAGCAGTTGTGGGAGAAGGCGCAGAAAGAAGAGCAGTGAGACCAAAGACTGGGAGGGGGAGGATTGCACTTCAAAGGTTTTTAAATACCAGGGCGAGAGGATTGTATCTGGGCCCTGGCTGGTGTCGCTCAGTTGGTTGAGTGCTCAGTTGGTTGTCCTGTGCACCAAAAGGTTGCTGGTTTGATTCCCAGTCGGGGCACGTGCCCAGGTTGTGCACCTGAGGATATGTTTTTTTATTGATTTTTTGAGGGGGGGGACGGAGAAAGAGAAACATCAATGTGAGAGAGAAACATTGATCAGTTGCCTCCCATATGTGCTCCAACCGGGGATCATATCTTCAACCTAGGTATGTGCCCTGACCAGAAATCGAACCCACAACCTTTTTTGGTGTACGGGACGACACTCTAACCCACTGAGCCACCCAGCCAGGCCACCAGAGCTAGAATTCTTAGGGTGATCAGTTTGGCTGCCACGTGGAGGATAGTATTGAGAGGAGGCCCTGGAGGGGGGAGTTTGGTGGAAAGGCTGTGGAAGACTTGGTGAGTGGAGGGTCTAAGGGGAGGGGGTCTTGATGAAAGGGCCTACTTTGTGAGCATCAATAGTTCATTCATTCATTCTTGAGAACTTGTGCTGAGTCCTGAGAATTCAATGGTGAACAAAATTGCAAAGTCCCTACCCAGATGCAACTTTTCTTCTAGTGGAGCAAGACATATTATTAGACTGCTCATCATCTGTCAAATGGTGAGATGTGCAATGGAGAAGCATTAAGCAGGGTAAGGGAGCTTGGGAGTGGTGGG